CCCTTGTAAATAAAAAATTACTCACCATGTACGATCTGAAGTCAAACTACCAAACGAGCAATCGTTCACGCAATTCACAACTACTCGTATAATCACTGCCAACGACCCACGCAGCCCACGCTTACTACGCTGCCGGCGCATCTTGCAAGGCGCAAAAAACAAATGTTTTATGTATAGAATCCAAAAAGATTTTGCAGTTAACGAAATAATTTGTGAAAGATTTCATAGAACTTTACTCGGATTTCAATCATTTCAGAGATTTCAATTGGATTTCAGAGCATTTCAGTCGGATTTCATGGATTTCATGGATTTTAAGGATTTCAACAGAAGTAAGGATTTTAGTCAGATTTCAGCCAGATTTCATCAGGATTTCATGGCGAGATGTACACCGGATTTCAAAAGTTGTGAACCCCTCGATACGCGGTATGCGCGAAGATCAGGCGCGAAGGGAGGAACTTCGAGCGACGCTTCGTCAGCGGGATGAGGAGCTGCAGCTTTTACGAACCTCCCAGATAAGTCTACCCAATAATAGAGCCGCCGGGGATTTCGAAACGCGAAGTGCAAACGCGGTCGCGTTTGGTAACAGTTATCCGCGATCGGAGCTCGGATTTAAATTAAAGCCCGACACGTCGACGGTACGACTTCGTTGCGCGAGTTCCTTTCTCAGTTCGAATTAATCGCGCGTGCGAACTGTTGGGCAGATGCCACAAAGACCGTGGTACTCGCTTCGTGCTTACGAGGGAAGGCGCGTTCGGTGTTAGAGACGGTCGAGAATTTGACTGATTTTGAGTTTTCGGAGCTTAAGTCTAAGCTCGAGTTACGTTTCGGGGAAGTATATTTATCCCAAAATTGCTATACGCAATTTATTAATCGAAAACAGAGATTCGGTGAAGATTTGGCCGCGTACGGTACAGAGTTAGAGAGGCTATCGCTCCTCGCTTACGCGGAGTGCCCCCACGACGTTCGCGATAAAATTGCTTGTGCACAGTTTGTTTCGGGTGTCTATGATGGTTTTACAAGACGAACCCTTCAATTGGAAGGAATTTCGTCTTTGAATTTGGCCGTCGAAAGAGCGAAAGCGATTAGAATAATTCAAGGGGGAAGTTTCGAAAGGGGAAAAGGGAATTTTTATGGGAGTGGTACTATTAAAAAAAGAAAAGCTACAGAGGAAGGGTTGGAGGACGGGAACGGTAGAAAATCCTCAATGAAAGGAAAGGAAAGGAACGCTCGAGGGGAAGGTTGGCGCGAAAAGAAATCCGCCTACGGACGCGAGTGTTGGTCCTGCGGGAAAGTCGGGCATTTCCGCTCGGAGTGTCCTGTCGCAAAGGAAAACGAGGACTAGTTGACCTCAATGGGGGGAGGTCAACTTTTCCGGGAAATTCCCCAAGAAGGGTTAATTTGAAGAAAATTGTGAATAGTGTAGAATTAGGTGTAAATAGTTTCCGTTATCAGGGGAAATTAGATGGGAAGAGTTGTGTCTTCAGAATAGACACGGGCTCCGACGTTTCTATCGTTAATACGAGTATGATCTCGAAGGAAAAGGATTTACTTCAAATTGAAGACCCGAATCTTTGGTGCCCTACAGGAGAAAGGGTCCCTGTAAAATGTAAGGTTTTAGTGAAAGTTTGTTTAGGGCAGGTTTCAACTATAATTCTGATGTATGTCGCTGATATCGTTGACGAATGCCTATTAGGGATAGATTTTCTCAAGGAGACTAATTTTAAGGACATTCTTGAGACAGCTTTAGGCCTTAATCATTTTTCAGGACAGAATCCAATATCATGCTCCCGTGTGACCAGCCTTTCGAGGGAGGCTCCTCTTCTCCTGAAGGAACTTTTTGAGAGTAGTTCGAGGGAATTGGCTCAACCTCAGTCTGAGGCTCTTGTCGAGTTCTTGACTGATTTTCAAGACACTTTTTCAGGAGAGATTGTTGCAGGAAGCTGCGATGTTGTGCAACATTCTATTGATGTGGGAGATTCTCTTCCCATAAAGCAGTATCCTCGTCGGATTCCCCTTCATCTACGAGAAGAAGTTGATGGAGTGATTGAAGAAATGAGAAGCCATGGAGTTATTGAAGAGTCTCATAGTCCTTGGGTTTCTCCTGCTGTTATGGTCAGAAAAAAGATGGTTCTATTAGATTTTGTGTGGATTACCGGAAAATTAATGCGGTGACAAAGAAAGACTCTTATCCCATACCCAGGATCGATGACATTTTGGATCAACTTTCAGGAAATTCTTGGTTTTCTACCATTGATTTAAAAGGCGGTTATTA